AGGGAGAATGCTGCAACAAATTCGCTGGACGCAAATTCGTCAAATCGGTAACGAAAACTACTCGCGTGGTAGTTATTAATCAAATTTGCCACGACAATGTTAACTTACACAGGCAGAATGACTAAAAGGTTGGCGTTATACGAAACCATAGCTAGTATTTTCTCTAGCAAGAATAAGCAACAAAAACTGAGAATTACCTACCGAACAGTGCCATGATCAGCTTCCCTAAAATCTTCTGCCCACGCTAGATGGCGGGCATAACCTGTACAGCTGCAGAATCTCTCGGCGCCAATGACGAGGGCGGCTTCTCGCGGCAGGAGACATTCCATGAAGAGGCGACCAGCCAGGATCTCCGGTTGCATGCAGCACATCAGTTCCTCCTGGACGTTACCGAAGCGAAGAAATTCACCGCCAATGTAGGGATCTGCAAAGTCCACCTGCAAAAAAAACGCCCACGAATTAGGCACAGAGTTTGGCAGGAGAAGAGGCTTCTAGGAGGCATATTTCCGTTTTAAACAAGTACCATGAATAACCCACGAATAATTATATCCAAAAATGTTCCTCCTGGTTTTCAATTGTCAGAATAAAATCCATATCTACCGTTCAGTCAGTTGGCATGGAATGTTTGCCCGAGCTAGATTTTTTAAAGAAATATTTTCAGCTATTGATGAGCACCACAGTCTCTCTGTTGTTTCTTTTCGATCCTTCTTCCTCGATACATTATTAGCTCGTTATACCATACTTTAAAATGAGGGGACTATGCTATCGCGGATGTTTGCTGTTTCGCAGATTTGTAAACGCTCTGTCCTCTCGACATCAAAACAAGTTGAAGAGTTGGAAGTGAGACTAGAGCAATGTCCATTGGCGTTTCCTACGTACGTCTTTCGCAGAAACGGGTATTTCATCTACAGATAGCAGTAGTAACCAATGTATTACCGTCAAACGTTAGGACTGCAGCATACGCGTATTTTTAGCATATTAGCTGTCGTCCGCTGCAGATACCAAATCCAGTATAGCCACGGAAACTGCCGCTACACTCGAGTTTCGAACCCGCGACCAGTGAGCTAGAGACGAAAGTCCTATCCACTCAGCCGTCGGGTCGACGTCTTGCCGGTTGTCGCTCTGGATATAGATAAGTACATCGAAGTACACCTATGGACTAAGATAGTAGTAGTATTTATTGCCTACAGTCAATATGGCAATTAACGCCTCCCCTATCGAGGATACTTGCGCGCCGGTCCGCTAATTTCTTCATGGCCGGCGTGCGGGTAGTCACTACTTACTTGTACTTGTTACGGCTGTGACCATGCCTGACCTAGCCGGCCTCAATGATGTCACGGACGGTACCTCTCCATGCGTGACGATTG